TATATCTTTCACCTGGGCCATAAGTGGCATTCTCCAGTGTTCCTGAGGGAAATACAAATCTCAGGGGAATAAGTACCTTATATAATACATCCCGGTCCCAGGAGGCAGAGAGGGAGAAGGGAGTGGATATTCATGAAGAAGAAAAAGTACCCTGAAGACCACCCATTCTGATCAATTCAAAACCTCCCTAGGGATGGATGCCTGGCTGGTTCAGTCGCTAGAACATGCAACTCTCGATCTCAGGGTTGTGAATTCATGCCCCACATGGAGTGTGGAGCCTACTTCAAAAAACAAAAACAAAAACAAAAAACCACGCCCTATATCTTTGGATCCATTGGTACCACCCTTAGCCCAAGAGGCCTTAGCAAGAGGCCCCTTTCTCTGGGTCCCTGGGTCTGTGCTTTGGAGGGGCTGCCCTCACCCCCCTCTGGTCAGTGTCTCCTTCCAGAACAAAAGGTTAGTGGGACCAAGCGCACTTGCCTGCCAGAAGCCTGTGCCCCGCCCTTTAGTTCTAGAAGTATCTAGAACGCTGAATTTCCTACCCACTTGATCCTGAGCCCATGTCCAGGCCTGCATGAGCCTCTTCCTGGGGCTGTCCTCCAGAGGGACAGCCATACTGCCACGGTCACACGCCTGGGCCCTTTCCAGGCCTACTCACTTTCCAGGAGTGAGCAAAGGGCAGCTGTTTGCACAGATGTGGACGGAGCTTGGACATGGGAGCGGGGTGTGCACATGGAGAGTGCAGGACCCCTTATGGTTCACGGTGGAGCCGACAATGAAAGAGAGGGGGCAGGGTGGGAGCTGCCCCCCCTTTCCCCACATCACTGCCTACGGGAAGTCTCCATTCTCACTTGACTTTCCAGGTTGTTATGAAGGTGTATTTGTCAAGGTAGGAGGAAAGGGTGTGTTTTATGTGACAGTTTGTTAGCTTGACTTACATACAGCATTTAAATATTTGGCCACATAGCATGTGGGCCTCCATTTGTACTCTCGTCTGGGGCTCTGCAAATCCCAGGGGTGGCCTGAGCACAGTAGGTCATTCCCAGAGGCCCTTGGGGCAGCCAGGACATGTCTGAGCCCCTTGTGCACCGATGCTTAGGCGCTGTGTCTCGCCTCCCGCATGTACCACACGTTCATACGCGTGCATGCAGTATCGGTCCTGTGGCTGCAGGCTTGGGGATGCTCTATTGATGGATTGGTTAGGGCTCCTCTGGTCGCAAGTGACAGAAAACCAAATCCTAAGTGGCTTGAGCAAGAAGAGAGCGTATTGGTTCATATAACCAAAGCCCAAGATTCCCCTTGATCAGGGGCTCTTATTTCGTCCTCTCTGGCTCTGCTCACCACCACTGATGACTCTGTCCCCAGATAAGCACTGTACTTGCTTTGTGAGCACAGGGTGGCTGCTGCACCTCCAGATCTCACCTTGCCCCATCTCCCGCTTTAACCATGTCCCATTGCAGAAGGAGAGTGCTACCTTCTCAGCGTGAGGTCTCATGGCATCCCATTAGCTCTGACTGGTCACGTGACCATTAAAACCAACGACTGTGGCCTGAAGGAGGCCAGTGTCTAAGGCACTTGCCTTTTTTTTTTTTTTCAACATTTATTTATTTTTTGGGACAGAGGCAGAGCATGAGCAGGTGAGGGGCGAGAGAGGAAACAGAGCACAGAATGGGAAACAGGCTCCAGGCTCTGAACCATCAGCCCAGAGCCCGGCCCGGCGGGCTCGAACTCTGATGGCGGATGGTGACCTGGCTGGTCGATTAAACAGCTCGCTCACCCAGAAGCCCCTAAGTACCCCGCCCACCGTGGCTTGGGAGTGGAAAAGGCAGTGGAGCCCAAAGAAAAATCAGAGACAGTTGCCAGAAGAAAGGGCAATGGCTCCTGGGGAGCCCTCTCCTGACTGCCCCTGACAGTTCCCACTGTAGGGATCTTCTAGAGACAATCCCTACGTGAGCCTATGCCCCCTTTTGAGCCTGCAGCTGCCCTGAGGCTGCTCATTTAATGCTCTGCTGTGCCCACCAATGTTTGCCCTCCCCAGAAGCATCGGCCGTCTGGCATGCCTGAGCTCCTGGCCCCCCGCCCAGGAAAGCAAACTGTTTGAAGGCAGGGATTCAACACGCATTCACTCAGCAGATGCTGGGAAGCACGTACTCCGACCAAGTACTGTGTTCAGCACTGTTTAGGTGCTAGGAAGGTACTGTTTATCGTGGAGACAGCGGTGAACAACATAGATCAAGCCCTTGCTGCCTTGTGCTTACATTCTGGTGGGAGGAGAAAGTCAACAAATGAGTGAGACTTCTGGTGGTCATTTACTAAAGAAAGAAACAAAGCAGGGTGTGGGGTTTAGGGACCATGGCTGAATGGGGATTCGTATTACAGGTTGGGCAAGTGATGCTTCTTTAATAAGGCCACACAGATGGAAAGACCTGAGGGGGGGTGAGGGGAAGTCATAGGGATATCTGAAAGAAGAACACTGCAGCCAGAAAGGACAGCAAGTGCAAAGGCCCTGAGGCAGGAGTGTGTTTGGCGTGTCTGAGGAACATCATGGAAGCCAGTGGGGCTTGAGTGTTGTGAGGGAGGAAGAGAAGGATGGGAGATGAAGGCAGGAAAGCGGGG